TTTCACAAAGCTGCATAAGGGAAGTCTTGTAGCCAGACAAGAATATTTCCATAATGTTTGAAATTTGGAAGTTCCTTGAGTTATAGTGACACCTTATGGCAGTTTCTGACCGATCATTTTGAAATTAACGTTTTACAGTCTGTCACTGTCAGTATGGAACTGCTTTGATRTTTTTAGAAATCTTTTTGTTGCAAGTTACTCAAAAGATCATTCCACCTCTTCAAATTTGTGTTTTTCCTCTTACTAGAAAAATACATATGAAAGGGGTGTAATCTTTGGCATTGTCTTCTCTCCATGTTTAACAGATAATCTATGCCTGGCAGTATAGGCATAGCATACCATTCATAACTACCTGTGGTGATACCAAATTTATGAATAGTCTCTTTCTTGAGTGATTCACCTAATTATGACACGTACTTCATTTAATCCTAGATCTAAACTCTTTTAAAGAAAACATCATGATAGAAGTTAATGAAAAAATTCTTTCCTTTTAAATACTGCTGGAAACCRAAACTGTGAGACATGAAAATAAAACTCACTACTACATGAAGATCAGAATTTATAAAACCTGTCTTCCTAAGCTTCTCCCTAATGTGAATTTTCTAGTGTTTAACCAGAGCTATCTCCATCTRCAGCCCTTCCCTCACTTGAAGTGCAAAGTTGGTGCCTCTAGTGAGGCAAGGGTTACCATAAAACTTGCGTTAATTCTCTTTCTTTGATATTTTAATAAGACTTTCCTCAAACAAGGGTTGAAAGTGAGCAACAGGTTTGAAGTTGCAAARGTCTGTGAAGGAATGAGGAAGAAGGATGACGGAGCAGTGACATTAACCTTAAAAACAGAGCTGAAAATCTACATTTGCTCTACTTGACTTAAAGGGGGAGCTGCATTTATGTTGAACTGCAGTTATGGCTTAGTTATGTTAGAATAAAATRAGCTCCCGAATACCTTTCATCTAACCTTTTCTTATTTAAAAATTATGACAAAAAGACAGCTTAAAATGGTAAATATTTTTTCATTTGAGCAAAATATTTGTTTAAAATTAATATTTTCATTTCTAACAGATATCAGTGACTAAATATGTCAAGTCTCTTACAATCTGTAAATTAAAAAATTCAGATCTATATGCTTTTGCTAGATTTTTAAAGGTATTCTCATTGCTAAGATAGCTGAAATAATTGACTAAACACCCAGTATCACCTGCAGCTCTTCTGAAAGGGGGGAAAATGAAATCAGTTCTATTTCAATTAAATCCACTAGTTTTTCAAAATTAAGAAACTGAGCAACACAAAAAKCAAAACCTTCTCTTCCCTCATAATGCATTCATTAAAAAGAACTGAAGAAAAATTAATTTAAACAACTGTAGCTTCTTCAAAGACATGGTGACCAGTAACACACAGTTCAGGCCTGTACTTTTAATTATTAATACTTCTGTTCAAATAATTTTTTTAAACACACAGATTTAATAAAGTTCCTTTCTAACGTCTCCAACTCTATGTATACATATCTCAGATACTGAATATTTAAACTACTTTTTACCAGAAAATGTCTGCTGCAGCAAAAAAAGAAGTGGAAAAAAGATGTGATTTATTCAACTTCCTAATCAGTCATTCAATTTAACAAAGTAGTCCAACAAAAACAAGCACACGGAAATGAAACATTMCAATACGTGTGTTAAGACTAGATTAAATCTCAGCTCAAGCAGCTGCCCATCAGCAGCAGCAATAGCTGTCAGGACCAGTTAGGCTCTTCCATGAAACCGCATCCACCAGCACTCCCTGCACAGGCACCAGGAATGTGAAGAGATCGGGTGGGCACAAGACACAGTTTCTAAGAAAACAGGCCCAACCCTGCGGGGCTGGCACTAGATATTCTGGCATTTTCCAGATGACAGTTTCCAGTGTCCCCTTTTTTTCTTTTTTTTTTTCTCTGCAATTCCCTGAACTCTGTCCCTCTGCACTGAAGGGTTGCTGTATCACTCCTTAGGGAGTGACGAATCCGTTTACTTTCTTGGGCTGCACCAGACAGCCTGGAAAAGTAGCAAGCACATGGTCAAAAGGAAGTGCTATACACAGGATTGAGCTCAGTGAAGTTGGAAATTATGTGTGAAGAGACACACAATTTAAGACACTCTTAATTAATCTCTGCAATATGCAGAAAATCACAGCTTTGTAATATCTACATCATGAATAGAATAAGAAAACACTTCCTACCCAGCAGCCAGTTAATGATCTGGTTAGCTTAAAAAATATTTACAGTGTTTGCTAAATCAAAGAATTTCAGCTGTATGGTTCTGTTTGCAAAATGTGGCAGTGAGGATATTGCAAGGGGTATTTGCTACTTCACTGCAAATCTTTTACTTGTAATGGTTGTAAAACAGTAAGAACCAAGTATTAATTCTTTAGACAACATAAAACCAATATGGACAATCAAACTGCAAAAAGAAATGCAACTACTTGAACAGCTTCCTGCTTTCCAGATAATGAAAAGAACAGATAAACAATAATTTAATCCTGCACAGAATAATGAAAACATTTCAGTACTTTATACTGATAGTACTCCGATAGCAGAAATGACATTTAGTATCTATCAAGTCAGAAAATCTCATAAAAAACTACTTCTGTTGCTAAATTTACAGAACAGACTAGACTTGGAGCACAGTTGCATCCAAATTGTATGTAGTGCTATGAATGAATGTCACGTTTTGATGGTTTTTCCTATTTTGTAGCTAAGTAAATCCAGGGTTGTAGCATAAGGCTATTTGGGGAAGGGCTAAATTTAAAACTCTCTTTTAACGAAAGTATGAAAATGGTATTCTAGCATAGTTTTATTTTTTCCTGATTCTCCTGCTTTGATTTTCTAAGATATAATCATTGTAGGTCACACTCATTGCAAGACATAATTATTTTTAGAAATTCTTAAAAAATAAAAATAATAAAARTATCTATCTAGTGCCAAGTTAGGATACTCTTCTAATGAAATTTACTCCTCTAATTACGGATGCAGTAATTTCTCATTAGCATCTGATTGCTCATTAGCATTTTTCTTATTTGCAGTATTTGAAGTCACTGCTGTGACTTTGGCTAAAACTCTCACAGCTTTGGTGCCATAGATAAGTGTTTATTTCATCAGCATGGCAAGGGCAGGAATTGCAATTTAGTTTTTTTAGTTCTCTGCTCTAATATTTGACTTTTCKGTTCAGAAAATAAGCAGTTATTCTTCTGTGTGGTGTTTGGTTCTAAAGCCACCTGCTGAAAAGCAAACCTTCAAAGTTTTGATTTTGTTYACTGTTACAAGTATTAGGTTGCATCAAGGAGACACAGAGACTGACAYGAAAAAATACTGCCTTAGTCATAACTGCAGCTCCCAAATCCCTTGGTTCTCAGGTGAAGGATAACAATGTTTTCACGGATGTAGTTACAAATGGAGGTTCTTTGATTATCTTGGCTAATTATTGCAGAAGAGTGTAAAACCTAGTCTTTTGAGTATTGTGCAAAGGTGAGGCATTTTAAGAAATTCCATTAAAAAAGGGCCAAGTAATAATTAAGGCACAAGAAAAAAAAAAAAAAAAAAAACCCTTAAAAAACTGGTATGTAAATATAGGTAGGTCATTGAACTTCTACGATTTCTAAGTTTCCACACCCACAAGTGCCTTTATTTGCAGGAAGAAACTGCAATAGAACCACAAGAGTACAGTTTATAAGTGCCCTACAGAGGAAAAAAAGGGATTTTTTCAATATCTAGAGTTTTATGTCTAGAATATTTAGTAAATTATCTTAAAGCTTGAATAATCAGTATTTATTTAGCTGCTCTTGGGTTTGTGCATGGGTAGGAATATAAACTGATTTCCTGTTTTGTCAGTTTGGCACAGGAAATCAGAACCCACCTTGATACCCTAGGAGCCATTTTCCAATCTACTGAGCAACTACAGCTGTTACCAGCTTSTAACATAGCTCTACAAATACTGATATAAAAAAGATTAACCTAAAGTTTTGGCGTATGACAAATCTAAAGGTGGGACTAGAGATATTTAAGTGATGAAACAGTCAAATAGCTGCCAATGTTAAAGGATTSCAAGCAAAAAAAACCTAACTGCAAACATCTCCAGCTTCCTCTGTTTGAAGATTTCRGCTATCTGAATTCATGAAATAGTTTATGAAAATGTCAACTTTATGTCACAGCAAACCAACCTAGAATGTCTGGATTTCAGCACTTGAAACCTTCTTGCTTAAGAAACAGCTGGGAGTTATGGWTCCTACCATTACCCAGAAATGGAGAGACAGAGAACAGTAGCAAGGTGAAGGACATACCAGTCACATCAGGGCTGTGATTTGCTGAGCAAATTAAGGCAGGCATTTTCTCAGCAGGGTGCTGGCATATGACAAGACTGTGCTCACTTGATGGATACAGCTGTGGAAGGAACGGGGCTGCTGTCATCCTCAGCAAGTGACAGCAAAGAGAGAACTGAAGCCACCTAATGCTACCTTTCCATTTTCACCTAATCTTTTTGTTCTTTTCCTCTCTTCTCCCACACCATCTCTGGCCAACAATGATGCTCCTAAACAGATCAGATGTCAGAGGTCAGATGTCTCATACTTGAACAATTTATACCATATAAAAAGCTGAGAACTACATTCCTTAAGAGTGCTGGCAAACTAACCTGACAAAGCAGTGTATCTTGAAACTCAGGTTTAGAGAAAGGGCCGTTTCTGGGTCAATGAGCTGTGAAAATGCAAATTGAGATCACTATGTGTCATCAGAATCCCAGCGTGGGCTTAGAAAAAGTAAATGCTAATTTTGGAGGCATCTAGTGTGGCAGATTCCCCAGAACTTTTAKCCATTTAATGAAGCCAATATGTGATGACATTTTACAAATGTCTAGGCAACAATCTCTAAGAAATGAACTCAAAAGTACATAGGATAAAATATATTTTCAGCAAAATGTACAGGAAAGTTTTCTACTGAAGTTACTATTAGTTAATTTAATGAAAATTTTCAATAAAAATATCTTCCAACGAAAATATGAAAACTTCATTTATTTCCATAGGCAACCTAATTCAGAGTACAAAGTGATGTGAATTTCTCAAAACTGTCACTGTACCTTTGACATAGCTTTAAAATAACTGATCTAAAAGTTGATACAAGAATAATTTTGGTTTTGAAGAGCTGTCCAATAAACCAGATATACACTAATGCCATGCTATGACAGTCCTATTTATGAATCAACAGTGCTATTTATGACACAACAATAATATAATTTTATAAATCTCTTGAGAATTTTAATGTTTTACAATCAAAACATAAAACTGCCACTAGCACAGAGACTGTACAATTAGACAAATAAACAAGTACTAAATATTTTGCACAAGGCCTGAGTTCACTATAACACATTTTGATTTACAGCTTCATCTCAAAAATCTGTACAGCAGTTAGACCTGTTTCAGAGAACTTAAAGACAATACAACTTCRGGGCTTATTTGTTATGTTGATACAAGGGTGAGGCCTAAAAGGCAAGAGGATTTGGTGTATGAATCCAAGGTTTTACTGCCTTGTGCAATTTCCTTGCGAAACAGTCAAAACCTAATGGAAAGTAAGGTACAAGGCAGAACCTCACTTGAAAATCAGCTAYCTCATCTGAAATCCAGATAGGTTTYCTCACAGAYATTTCAAAGGAAAAGTTCACAAGGAATATATAAAATGCAGCATATCTCTGAACAATGAAAAAGAAGGGTTACATATACAACAGGGTATTTTTTTTTCTGTACTCCCTCTCCCGATGTTTCTTTCATTGGAAATGGCACAAATCAGCAATATCCCACCCCCTCTCAATTAAAAAACCCTAGTCAATAAGCAAAGGTCACTCCAAAGTCCAAAAATGTCACTGTAATGCAAGATCCAGTGTTCATAAAYTTGTGTTTTAAATACTTTCCTTTTCTGCTCAAGTCACACACACATAGGCAGACTAAGCAGGTATAACAAATAACACGAGTATCATATAACTTGTAGCCTGTATGGAAGCTTTATGGAATTTGACTCAAATTTAACTTCTCACTGAGTCTGTTTTTTGGTGCAATTGAACTGATAAATCAAAAAGTCCTATAATCTGTAATATAATCACACTTATCTATCAACACACAGATAACACTACAACGGGGGTATAATACAAAAGTCAACATACATTTTTCTTACTTTAAAAGGCCATCAGGGCATTTATTAAGGTTCCACATGCATGTGGAACAGTTGCTGCTAAAAAGATAAAACTTAACAGAAAAGGAAAGTTTTAAAGAATAAGGCTTGAAATGTTGTGCACCTACACACACAAAAATTCAGCCTTTTACCTGGTATACTCAACACCTGTTTAAGGCCACAACTTCCCCACAACATCTCTTATTCACAGTGAGGAGACTATAGTGTCGAATTTAAAACAAACTAGGGCATTCTACCCATGTTCCCAGAAAATTTTCTCTCCRCATCTCCCAAACAATTGATGGACTCCTTTACCTTTCAGAACACTCCTCTGGTACTGCTGCCCTCCTGCATAAGCAGGTTCCAAGGGCTGTTCTGTGCCTTATTCATACCACTTGTGTGATGAGTGGTTCCCTCCTCCAGTGACACCTGTGCCATTTCACTCCCAGTTTCTCTCCTCTCAAGAGCCAGAACAGGGGTTTCAAAGCTAATCTGGAACTCAGCAGTTTTAAGATTCTCCATCCACCCAAACAGAGAAGGTTTTTCAAGACTCTTTAATACAATCCTTCTCTCTAGCAGGATTAGCTTGCTTTCTAAGACTGAGTTTTGAGGGTGCTTCAGAGACTTTCATATTTAAACCCAAATGGAACCAAGAGCTCTTATAGGGAAAACATGGCTGTCTTGGTGCAGTCATGTTCATTTAGCATACACCAGAGCAACCAAAGCACAACTGATGTATGTAAGATGTGCTGCTATTTTCACTTAGCTTCTCCTTTAGTAGTAAACACAATATAGATGAATTACTTAAAGAACAGGAACTTACTCCTTCCGTTTATCTCCCCTTTACAAATGAATATAAACTAGGTGGSCTGGGCACTTCAGCCCAGACCCTGCTCTCATTTCCACAGTAGAATGAAGATATTCTCAAAGCGAGTGAGCACAGTGGGTGCACAGCATAGAGGCTATGATGATATAACCTGACAGGCTTCCACTTCTTTTCCTTTAAATTAGGTTGCATACGTAGGGTAGAAATTTAGTGTAACTTACAGTCTCGCTCAAAGCATTGTAAAGAAAATCTTATTTTTTACCAGGTAATTATTTCATTAACTGTCAAAAAACAGTACCATTTTTAAACCTGTGTTCTCCATTTCACTTTACATAAGGACTAGGCCGACCCTCTGCTTCAGGCCAARCTGGATGCAACACTGCTTGCCATCCAAGTTCAGACATAGGAGTCTCCTGAAATACCCACATTTTGTAACATTGTCCATTCCCCTTCCTCTGTCCCAAACCCCAAYTTGGATGTGAAGCACAATTTCTGCTCTCCAAGAATTCATTMTGGCCACAACACAAGTCTTCCAGCCTTCTGCAGGACCTCAGAACGATGACTTGTAAGTGGAGAGATCAATTAGACAAGGCCTCCTAAAGGAAAACTACTCTAGCAGAAGCCAAGTGGCACATGGCCATGGGACTTACCTCTCCTTTAAGCTAAGAAGAAATAATTACAGAACTTCACATACACAGAGTTTCCTGACACACTAAGCAGGAAGCATCTATGTGGAAGAGGGATTGGACTCACTCATTTCAACTACAGTTATATTTTTTTTCTAATTTTTAAATAACTGGAAAATTTTGTAGAGCTTTTATAAGCACCCTTTTCCATTTTCTTTGTTGTTCTTCTACTCTGGTCATTTTGAAACTGGCGACAAACAAGAGAAATCAAAATCACAGTCTCAAATATGAATGAAAAAAAAATCCTTTTTCTTGAGTCAGATAAAGCCCTTATTCCATTGCATTACCACTTCATAAAAGAGCCTCTTTCAACTTGAACTCGTAGGATTTCTTTTCATTCTTACAAAATAGATTATGTTCTCATATAGCCCATGCCAAAAGCACATATTCCAAACCACACAGTTTAGGAGATCTAGTACATTAAATCAGATCAACTGTTTTTTCACTTAGCTTTCCCGGCAATAGGTTAAACTAAATTCAGTCCTGAAAAGCCCCCAGGCCAGAGAGATCAGTGACAGAAACCCCAGATCAGGACACTGACTTGTAAGACTGCCTTTGCCATAAATACATTAATTTAATACATTGAAGAGTCCAATGAGATGATGTTTTTAATATAAACTTATTTTCCAAATAATTTAGAGGAATACAGATTCAAGTAGTTCTTCAAAGTCTTGCTTTAGGTTACCTTAACAAAACACAGCTTTCAAGAGTTGACATAAAAGAAGACATTAGTGTGATTGAGAGCACAGAGTGCCAGAAACTGTAAATTAACTTGAATAGTTCAACAGTTCTAATATTGTACTTAAATTTACATGGATATTTTAACATGACCTACAATGCTTACCATGGATATTGACAGCACATAAACATCACAATGTGTTAGGTATTGTTTTTTAGACCACAAATTCATTGGTCCCAKGTATTTCAAAGTAATAGGATTAACACAGCAGCTATAATACATAAAAGATTCTTTAAGAAATATGCTTAATGCTATTACCACTTAGAACTGTGGAATATAACAAAATACAAGTCATATTTACAGCATAAGGCCCTTTGGTTTCTTAAGCAGCAAATGAAAGAAGAGTTTCTTCAGTGAAAGGCTTTGAAAAAGAAAGCAGGTAGGCTTTCCATAAAAAAAARTAACTAGTTCTTTCCTTCTCAAAATAACCATTTATAGTCTTCAAAATATTAGGTAAGAAAGCTCTTGAAGTTCTTAGGGGAAAAAAGTTAAAACCTAACAGTAGTATCTGACAGAGCAGAGATTCCATCATGGGCAGGCTGAGCATATACCTTCTGGGAAGTAGAAGAAACTACTATTTGGCTTTCTGGAGATTTTTATTGAATTTAGAGTAATACAATAAAAATAATCTAGAATAACTGTGTATTCATCATATACTCTAGAGCTTACAAATCCATATTTGAGAAATCACTTCATGTCGATCTATCCTTCATGAGGATTTGATTTAAAGCAAAATTAAAATGAAATAGTTCACTCTAGTCAAGGCAATTTATGGCAGTCTGCTTTTTCACACAACCCTGTGCAACTTGTATAAGGCGATCCTTTTTCATCTTCGCAATTGAGCCAAAAATTATTAATTAAGATATTTTCGTGTAACTGTATAATGTGTGTTTTGTTACACAGTTAGGGCAGTCAACATGTGAATTTTACATGTACATTCATTCTGAGAGGTTTTGTAACTACGATTATTCTTTTTACACATCGGTTAGAAGTAGTATCACATTAGCCAAAACAATGAAATATATAGCAAATGTGATGAAATCACCACATTTTAAGTATTTTTAAGTCCCGCTTAAGTGGTATGTTGCTTTTGCTATGGGGCTTGTAAGAAGGATCTGGCATTATAGAAGAGATTGTAAACCAACACRACCTTTGAAGCAGCATTCTTACTCTCTCCCAAACTTGCACAGAATTTTAGAACTTCTTATGCTCAATGAATCTTGTTACAGTTTACTACCACATTCATTACATTATCTTATATAACTGAAGTTAAAATGTGCTCCCTCCATAGTCTCGTCCACAGTTATTGTTTAGAATTATCTCTGTATAATTTGGCTATCGAAAATTTTGGGCCAGCATATGAATTTCCTTTTTGCAAAATAACAGCTTGTAATAAATTCAGGCAACAGGAATAATTCTCCAGGTTTGCATCCACTAGCGTCATTATCCCCTAAGCATTTTTGCTGAACTTAAAAACCAAAATTTTGTAGAAAATTTCATAGGAGTTGACTGAGTACACCTCTGAATAATTCTGATACACTTCTTTTTCAGTYGAACATATGCATCCTACCTTCAGCACTCTCATGCTGGTAAAGAGACAGGAAATCTTTAGCATGTAAGATGACTTTGCACTTACACAATTCCACTGCAGTATCAGGTGAATGCAACATCAGCCTTTTTCCTGTGCAAAAGTCTTTCCTTTGCTGGGTTGAAAGCTTCCCCAAGTCATGCTTTTACTAACCAAAACAAGATATTAATCAGCTTACCCATGATCCAAATTTCATCAATCTTTGAAAGAAGAAAACAAAACATTTTACCCAAAAAGATCTTTTAAGTCATTACTAGCTGAGCTGCTGTTTGTCATTGTGTTTGCTGGTTGTGCAAAGTTCTGAGGAGAAAAGAAAGGATTACCCTGTATCCCAAAGCCCGGCTGTCCCATCACGTTCATCTGAGGTCCCAACACTGTATTGCTCGCATTTGGGGACCCTGGTGGTGGTACAAACTGRTTAACCCACTGGTTTGATTTCTGTTGAGCCAACTGTTTCATGCTAACTTTAGGTTTTTGAGGACCAAAAAGATTATCTAAAGCAGACATATCTGGGGGTTTGTTTTGCTGTGTCAGTGGAGAGATTGCAGATGCAGCATTCATAGGACTGTAATTTGGCATATTGGCAGGTGGTACAATGTTCATCTTGGAAGCTCCTGTTGCACTTGGACCACTGAAGAAATTCTGAGTGGTGAGACTTGCTCCCATACTGAATCCAGCAGTCTGAAAACCCATATTTGTATTTAGTCCATTTGTCATATTTCTCTTGGTGTTGTCAATGGGTGATGAAAATCCCATTCCAACACACATAGAAGGAACAGAAGAGAAGCTGTTTGAAGATGCAACTTGAGCTTGGTTGACAGGACGGCTTGTCAAAGATGACATATTATCTATCAAGGTATCTGTCAAGTCTTTTGTCTGCAAAACACAAAAAATGCAGTTAAATGTTTTTCCCATACAGACCTCTAGCAACAGTATTTTATCATTACCCCYCCTGCTGACCTGGCATTACTTTTCCAGAAACTAAAATTCACTGCATGGAATTGGACATGAAATGTAATAATACACAAGAGAAATTAAATTGTTTTTGTCCTTTGCTACTTAGAAGGAATTGTTATGCAGCTTTAATTTGATATCTAAAACTACACTCTAAGTACCACTGTGACTGTTTGCTTAAATGCTCCATTCCTATCCCCAAATCCTTTATATATTTACTTAATAAACTCTTCAGAGAAAATCCTTTTTTAATAGGTCCTTTTTTCTTATCTAGAACAATGATCTTCTAATAATAATGATATCCTTGGAAACYAGCAGTTTAGGAAGTGGGGGAATATTGCTAATGATGCAAATGGAAAGCACAGGAAAATTTAATTTATCTTTTCTCAGCTGTGCTGTTGTACCACYAGAGAAAACAAAAGTGACTCACAGGAGGAAAAAATTCGAAATGCATACAGCCCTTCAAAAAGCATCAGAGCTCCAGTGGAAACAGTGCAGCAGTTTATTCTATCTCACCTGCTTCACCGGAGGCGTCACTGTAGTTGCTTGAGGCTTAAGAGGTTGCTGGCTTTTCAGTTTCTGTGCCTGTTCTTGTTCTTTAGCTAACTTTTGCTTCTCTTCCAGAGTAAGGGAGGCCTTTAAAAGGGAAAGTACTGATAGTAAGTTGCAAAAAATGGTAATTCTTACATTCATATTTTTATTTCATAATAGAACTGTCATTTCAATAATATGTGGTAAACAACACAATTATTTACACAAAAGAGAAAGCCAATAAATGGGAATCTATTATAATATTTACCATATTGCTAGAAAGTACTTAAAGCAAATAAATACAATACTGAAAGTAGGATAATTAGTAATTTGGGCAGATCTCAAATAAAAGAGATACATCAACAAAGCCACTTTAGCTTTGTTTCCTTAATATTGGGCATAAGAAAAAGTGTTCTTCAGTTTTGGTTTTTATATGGTTACTAAATTGATATAGAAATGCAACTGACCATGGAGTTGAAAAGGAAATTTCATTTTAAAACTGCTCAAGAGTCTTTCAAGGATTTCAAATCTACTTTTGTTAATAATGAAGGCTAAAGTAATTAAATCATTCCCCCTTAGTCTAAAATTAGTGCAAGGATTCAGGTAACTAGAAATAGAAATTATAAAACATACAGATTCTGGGGAGCCATTTCCATAATTATTAGTATGAAAAGAATTTTACAATAGTTAAAGCCTATGTTTACTATGTTACTGCTGATATTCTATGTTATGCTATGTTTTTCCTCTTCTTTTTGTATTTAACTCGATATTGACTGTTTTCACTTAACTCTGAAAGGCACAGTAAAAGTTAGTCTCTGCTACTACTTTGAATTTTACATTTCTCTTTGTCATTTTATCATAAGGGTCCCTATTTTGCTTTTCCTGCCTAAATCCAGTGATGAAGTTTTAGTTTCATTTTAATCTGTCATTAAGGAGAAAGAAAATGACCACACATTTATAATCCTAATTGCTGCTTCTTTGTACAAAGCTATTTTCAAGGAAAGGCTTACACGGAAATTCAAGGGTATGATCTGAATGTTTTTCATGGACCTTCTCATGTGGCTGTGTGTGGTGGTGTGGTACATAAAAGCAGCTAGTTTTTCCGCTAAAACTGTAAATACGGTACATATTTACACACAATCTTCCTCTGCAATCCTATTAGCCTTGTAGATAGATGGATAAAAATGAATTACAAAATAAAGTAAAGCACACCTTTCTCTGTATTGATGACATCTCATTCTCTTTACTATCAGATCCACTAGTTAGAAGATCAGTTCCATTATTAAATACCTTGTCAATCTGTTTAAGTTCAAAGAAAAAAACCTTCATTATTTGAAATACTGTAATTTAAAGCTACATAAATAGCAACTAAATAATTTAAAATTTCAATGTTCCATGTGTAAATTACATACAGCTGCTTACCTGATTGCTTGTACCAGCAGATCTTGCCTCTTCAGAGCCACTCATTTGGTTGGCTATGTCCAAAGATCTACATAGCACAGAGTATATTACAAAARAACAACTTTGTAATCACATTCACAACACTAATCTAACAATGCAGGTTAGTTTACATTTAAATAATACCGAAAAATTGCATTTTAAGAGCACCACCACTTTTGTATAATGCCTTCAGGAGACTGACAAATGTTCCTATGAAAAACAGAAGACTCCTAATCATTTTCCAATGTCTTCATTTCTCCCTTTGAGCGGGGTGACCCAGACTTAAGATATCCCAAGTTACATTTTGTCTCAGAAATCTCACCTCATATCAGACTCCACAAAATTGCTCCAAATACTTCAAAATATCCCAGTCTTCTAAAAGGCTGCAATGTCTATGTTTCTCTGGTATGGCTATTTCTCAGCAACTACAGGAAAACATCTTAGCACATACAAACAAGATTTCTGATAACTCTSCTTATTCGAGGTAATTCTCAACTACTGAACTTAGAATTCGCTGATTTTTTTTTATTGCTATGGCGAAAGTTTTCTAGCATTTGCCAAAAAATTATTACTTCTCCAACACCAATATGCACACTTACTTCTGTTGCTCTTGCATCACATGAAGTTGCTCAAGTTTTGTTTTATGCTCTGCTTCCAATCTATTGAGCATATCTTTTATAACACAAATAAAAGAATTAAACTGTAAAAGAAATATATAAGAAGTTGGGATTTTGCAGTGATGAAATTCAGACAGGTATAACTTAGCAGGTAATACCTACATAATGTCAGATAAACTGCAGATTTTAAATAATTTATAATCCACCTTCATTATCATGCATTAGATACCAAACTACCAGAACAGTGCATACTGAAACAGGGAAAAATACAGGCCACTAAAAAGGAACTGAAATGGGGCAATGCAGACAAAAYCCCCACATATGAGTACTATCAGAATMATTTTCAAACAAACCAAYCAAATTATTATTCCCTTTCCCAATATTTCATAGCAATATAGCATTTTATTTGAATACTTACTATGCTAGTAGCTAACTGTTTTTGTAGGATATTTGAAAGGTGACAGTATTAATTTTGGAATTTTACAGCACATTCGTTAAATACACTGAAAAATAATAAGCTGCTTCAAACAGACAAATACAGTAAAACTGGGAAGGGTTTTAGTATTGTTTGTTTTTACAGCAGACACATGCAGTAATGTATGATTTTTTTATGACAACGGTTTAAATTTATTAATAAATAATTAATAATGATAATTGTCAAGTAAAAGCATGCAAAACAGTCATGTTCCTACCTGATTGAGATTAAGATTGTTCTCAATACTAAGAGGAATCAGATGGGGCAATACTTTTCCTGCAAGCTGCTCTTTGGTAATTCCCAACTTCTTGTGAGTAAATGTACATTTGTAAATACCTAACATAGAACATACAAAATAGCAAACATTGTTAAGTGTGGTAAATAATCTGAACAAACTTGAAGTAGCAAACTCATATGTACTGATCATCTGAATAATCACCGTGTTTATGTGCAAGCGGGACCAGTATGACCAAGAGAATCATAAAGGCTAATTAATGACCACAACAAACACCAAGGGCTTTGCYACAATTCAGAACACGAGGATGTACAAACTCGTACTTGGCAGTTATGAAACTTGGTATTACTCAATGTATTGTTCTGGCCAATTATCTGAGAATATGCATCTTTGAATAGATTATGTGCAAGTGAGTTACCACAAACTGACACACTGCCACTTGAGAAATCAAGCTGCATTAACTGAGGATGTATTCTCTTCTGGCACACGACAAGTAGCTATGATTAACTCTCATCCTACACTCTGATGGTGTTTTACAAACACTGTTACCTAGAAGTTTGGGGCTGTGTTACACATAGGATCAGAACTCAGGCATAATCTCTATGCTTTAAAATCACTGAAAAAAGAATCCTGACAGGGAGACCCAATGTTAAACCCAAACATTCTGTAGCACTTCTGACAGGAAGAGTCCTTTCCTTAAAYAGTCAAGCTCTGGTGGCAGACACTAAATGTATTAGCATAAAAGACACAGCAGCTTTCCTCACTTTCTATGGTAGTAGAACAGAGCTGTCACCAAAACAAAGAAAATGAAGGATGGTATTATGATTCCAGAAGAAAGAAGAGCCTGAATATAAAAAACTGATTTCAGCCCATCATTTCCAAACTAGGATTCACTTGCTCACTGTAGCTGAGCAGAATACAGGATTAACACAACCAAAGCAAAAGGGAATGGTCCCATAGATAGCAAACGTAAGTCAAAGCTGCAAGAATTAAGGGAAACAGGCAGCCTTAAATCAGTACAGATAAGATGCCTTCTTGCGGCTTTTGAGCAAATAAAAATAATGCTGCCATCACACATTAGCACAGTGTTTAATGAGGGTTATTGGCAGTACAGCTCAGCTGTTACAAATGGTCTATACCACTTTGTTGTCAGTAAGAGAAATGGCCACTGTCTTCCAGACTTGGCCAAGCGGTCACAGCCCTTTCTTGGCAGTAGCTCTGGTTATTYGGACTCCTTAACCCCATTCAAGTTGTTAAAATCACACACCCTGAGACAGGCAAGCACCGAGTGGCAGAGGAAAGCTCAAATGGGAGTGAGGTCTCCCATTCCAGKAGTACCAAGCCATTAGGTTTTGTTAGTCCTTYTGTGAGACCTCACCCCAGACTGTGTTCCATTTCTGTGCACAGGGACCACTGTGTGATTAAAYGTCCAACAAAATGAGTCTAACAAAACCTGCAGTAAAGAACAGCAGATTTGGAGACAATMATTTCTAGCATCTGCCATGCAAGAATGGTAGAAGAAGGCAACAGTAACATCTCAAAAGCTCCAACCAGGTGCTCAGCATCTGAAAGAAGGCAGCTCATATATTCTTCTGAAGAAAACAGCCTCTCYGACTGTTTGGAGCATCCAGTCCATGGAAGTGTCACAGTCCAAGAACTGCAGTGAGTACTGAGAATTGCATGGGGCCCCGAAGACTAAAAAGATATGGACTAGTGCTCAGATGTCACAAAAAAGGTAACTGAATAGGGACATACTTAAGAACCAGAAATAGGAAGTTTTTAATAGTAATTTTAGGGATGCACTATGTAAACATTGTTCAATGATAATACAGAAAGCTCTCACATTTACAATATCAAAGTACAAAAGAGAACATTGGAAGTACTAGTTACCTAAAATTCCCATGAGCACTGCAGGTTCCTTTGATGGAATTTGTTGTAAAAAAGGTAAAATATCATCAAGCACAAACCATTTATCCAAGTACTCCAAAATCTTGCCCAAGCACACGAGTGAGTTTACCCGGACCTATGAAATATGATTAGAATTAAACAAACTCTTTATTTACAGAAAAAAACAACAAAACCAAAACAAAAYAAAATTACAAAACTCTTAAGAAAACCTTTATATATGAAAAATTCAAGACAAGTTAAAAAAATGCTTTTGTATCATGAAAGAAAAACACTCATTTTTATGCTCACAAAACCTTGACTTTTCTGCATGACAYTGTCAATGTGTATTACTATGGAACCCACTTCAATAATTTTTACAGAATTATTAACACAGTAAGTTGTTCATAACTTTAAAAACAGTTAAAGAAGTAAATTGTGCTTTTGCATTTGTAAGAAGTATTCTAAAAAATTCAGTAAGAAATCAGAAAACATTGATGGGTTTTTCTTTAAAGATGGTTTACTTGGTAAACCCAAAGTAATTAAAGGTAACAACATTTTCTGAAGACTAGAGATAATATTACTATGATACTCACGGCAAGAGAAGAAGTTTGCAAGCACGCATTTTTAATTCTTGGAATTAATGAATTTTTCATTGATGGGTAATCTATTAAATTGGCAAATGTGGGAATTATGTTTAGGCAAAGCTCCTACAAAAAGAAGATTCCACAAAATTTTAAAAAGAAATATGCATATTTGTTATAAAATTAGTACTAATATAACTCAATATCAAAGTTAGTTCGAAATGTTTTCTTAAGCCTTCCTTTTAAGGAMATATTTAAGGAAACATGTTCAACTACGCTGACCCTAATCTATCACACTCGCTTAAAAATAACTAGAATAATAAAACATCATATGTATACAGAACCTTTGAAAATGGATTTTAGAAAAAAGGGCATTCATACATTTGTAACAAAATATTTAAAAAGCAAGAATACCTTGTATTTTCACAAGACACCCTTATAGAAAGCGCAGCTTTTACTACATCAGACTACCAATCTCTTACATAAATCAAGAAAATTTGAATGACTACTATCAATAATACTGCAGTAAAATGATACACTGAAAGATAAAATATCATGTCAAGATCAACCATACTTTAGCAACAGATAAAAAATAAACACAATTTCAGCCCAATCTCAAAAAAAGGGACAGTAAYACTAAGTATATTTTGCACGTAAACACATCATTAACCAAAGTACAGATGCCGAAAAAAAACTCATGTCAGGTACTTTGAAACCAAAACCTTTCTCCCTGATATTACAAAGGCTTAGCAAAAGCAGAAGTCACATCTGATTATCCAAAACCGCCTTTGAGAACTATTTCGGTTTTATCTCCCACTCCTGAATGTTTTTGGGTAACTGGAAGTTAATTCCAGTTGAATGACTAAAAAAAAATCCCCAGAAGAACCTTAGAAAGGTAGAGAAAGCACAAGAAGAAAAAAAAAATGGATACATAAAAATGTCATCATAAGGTATATTAATATGATTTTACAGCACATCAGGTCTCCTGAGGTAACTGTCAGCACAGATGTTCTTACCAGCAGGARCTCAGAATAAGCCACCTCTCACTGACTGGGAAGAGCATGCATGCCTGCACAGTTTCTGCTGTGAAATATAAATGCATATCCTACTTTCTGCTATGGTGGCTAGTAAGAATTTAACATCAGAGCATTAGAACAATAGCCAAATGGTTACCCTCCTGAATTTCACTTTACCAGAAACAAATGTTCTTTAATAAAGCATTTATCTCTTTTAACATTCAGGCATATTATACAGTTTTATATTTTCTTTTTTTTTTTTCAAGTAAACAAACACATGAGTATACAAAAGTTAGCACATCAGCTGAAAGAGRGAAAAGTTTTCAATAAAGGCTGCAACTACCATACCTGGATCTGAATTGAAGGTGCTTCCAAGGCTCTATAAACCATTGGTAGAACACTGTTCTTTATTTCATCTGGTGGAGTTTTGGTTAGAAGCAAGTCCATTTTTTGCAGGAAGATTAATAATATCTATTAAAAGAAGGACAAATCAGAAGCCAAAAGTTTTAACTACAAAGCATGYGTTTACAATCTGAAGTGTGTTGTATCACATCAAAAAAACTTCAGAAGTTTTCTTATAACTCAGTAAATGTAATCACTTACCATGTTGCTTGCCTGAAGGCATGGAAGACAAAAAACACTTTGACATGTTATTGCATTTTAAAAAGAGCAAATACAAATCAAACACAACATGCATGTTCTACACTGACCCTTCAGAAATAACAAATCATAATGGCTCAGTARGGAGTTCTTGTTTCTATTTACAAGAATTTGTAAGTCATTCTTTTTTCTATCTATGGTCTTTTGTTAAAATACATCCACAAAAAATATACACATATCACGGTTGAAAAAGCTAAACTTTTGAAAAACTATCACTCAAATTCTGTCTTCAAAGCATTCCATCACAACTCCACATATACAAGCTGTATTCCATATGTCTAAAATCAAAATAGGGATGTCATGAAAAGAATATTACAGCTACTAGATGGACAAAAACACCTTTATTCTACTTAACATGAAAATTGTGTATTATAAAATAAAAAATCTCAAACAAAATCACATCACATTAACCTAAAAATAATACTATAATAGCACATATGCACAGTGGGTTCCATCTTGCTTAGGYTTAGCCATTTAAAAGTTAACCACTATTCTAAGTCACTCAGCCAGCTCAATCTCAAATCCAGAGCACTGTGTAACTCATAAGACTCATATCTCAGTTCAGACAGGGGCTAGAGGGGACATTGAGTATCCATTGACATCAAGACTCCTTTTAGAAAACAGGTTAAACTAGATGGATAAATTATGATGAAACGTACCTCATTAATAACAAAAAGCCAAGTATTTTATAGGAAGACTTGAATTTTTGTCTAAAAATGCATGGCAAACAGTACTTGAGTGTCAAATAAAAAGAAGCATCAGTGTAGAAAAAGAAATGTAACAAGACACATTACAAATTTTCCCCTTTTGTTTTCCTTTACAAAGAAGAAAAACAGATTTTTATACTGCAGCTAATATGTGTTTTCTTATTGGATATTTATAATTTCYCAAACTGAACACACACACAAAATTCATTCCATGAATGTTGATTCTGGTGCAATATCCCTATATTTGGGACAATCACTGTGAGATGGATGAGATCAGTTTTAAAGCTAGATTTTATAGTTTTCTTCAATACAGAATCTTGATTTGCCCTAAACTTGATGTTTTGAAACCTACACATGCTCTTAACACCTGYTCTTCTCTAACAACCCTGTAATATTGTGGAATGCAGCTTCTACCTTGCTTAAATCTATAGCTTTGGAGAAATATMATTTCATTGTTTTGCAAATTTGAAATTAAACCCCTTACTTAACAGCTAGAAAATTTCCTTTAAAGTAAGAAACAAATATTATAGAAATTTAGATTTCACAGAAGTAGTTCAGCTCTTTACACTGGCTGTCAATGCTTTTTAACTAAGATAAAATTGAATCATTTTTGATCTCTCTTTTTTTACCTGTGTTTAACTACTACATAGTTTATACTGTTCCAAAGAACACCTTTCATTTTAAGCTTCTAGGATAATATTTGATATGTGTTGTATATTTAGATAAAAACAAAGATGATACAGTCACTGAATCACATATACCATCTATTAAACAATTAGCAGCAGTTGCACTCTAAGTGACAATGCTTCTTTTCYTAATGCAGTGCCCAGTAATTGTCAGAGTACACTTTGGCACAGCGAATTAGAAAATGAATTTACAGCACATGCTAACTCTCTGTGGAATCCTGTAGATATAAATCAAGGGTTTGTCTGGGAAGCTCTGTCAGAGTAAGCTAAGATGTTAACTTACAGCACATGTTACTGCACACTAACGCCAACAGTAGGTTTAACTAGATATTCCATTTTCGTATTATGAATTCCCTCACAAAAAGGGATTGTGAACACTAGCTAACAAATTCTTCATATTGAATCAGAGCAGCTTTCCTACGATACATTCATTTCCTAACCCAAATACCCTACGAAAGTCAAGCAACAAGCCCATCATAGAAATAACACCTTGAAAGAGTGTTTGGAATACTGTCATTTTCCCTGTCTGCTCCTCTCCTGGAATTACAAACACACAGAAACATTTCTGTCTCATACAAAGATAGCCAGACCTAGAATTTTATCCTCTAGTATTCCAAACCTTTGTATTTTTTTCCAGATTACTTTAACTTTGCCATACTAAAAAGATCACAGAAATAATAATTGAATAAGCCATGTAGGACTCTGCATTAAAAAATATCAGTATAAGAACTGAATAGTGTCTAGTGTCTAGGCAGTCACAGAAAAACTTTGCAAAGCTCTGTCTTTATGAGCTGACTCCAAGTTTGCATTTTGCTTCCCTCATTTCTCAAGACATAAATCAGCTTTTGTGCTCATTRTGCCCCAGATGAAACTTTGCTACAAACATTTTGCAGTGAGGATTTGGTCACATATCTAATGTTAAATGAAGCAAAACACAGTGTTACCTTTTAGGATGACACAGCACAAAGAACATCTTCACTGGCTTTTGGGTGGTTAAACACTTACTTTGTTCAAGATAACAAAGCTAATATAAAGCTTCAGTGTACCAAGCACAAGCAACATTAAGAAGTTCAAGTATCATGAGCTATTCTCAGTTATACAGTTGTGCCCTTCCCCCCCTCCTCACCCCCCCCCCAGTAGAATGACAGCTCTCTGGTACAGTTTTCTGAAACCCGTAAATAAAGGGTCTGCTTGTTCATTGCTATGTTTATGGTTTATCTTGCCCTTCAAATGCTCTGAAGAGAAATAACGGCATAGAGCAGTGAGCTAGAAGGAATGCATACCTGACTCTCATCTGTAGAGGCACAATGCCTCACTTTGTGACAGATTTCTCAGGAATCATCATGCACATAGTGATGACAAAAGGATGCAAACTTTTGCTCCTTTACARTAATGATTATGTCTTATCTACTTTTATAGATTTAAACAGCAGCGAAAACAGCATATTTTATTTACACATTACATTTGTAAAATAAAATTAAACAAATTTTTGCACAGTCCTCAAACAAACATTACTCTTATTATCATGAATAAATAGCTCTTAGAAAAGAATGTCAAAATTACAGTTTTTCCACCCCATGATCCAAATGTCAGCAATCTGGATGTAAGAAAAAAATCAAACCAAAAACCCCAGATATATCTACTAGTAGAATGCAAACATTGTACTGTACAATCCTGCTCAGACTGGCCAGATAAGTGTTGAAATGCTGACAAATATATCTTCTACAATCAACCAAAATCAAGCAGTTAATTCAATGTTCCCTTTTTTTGCAAATCTCATCTCATCTGTAAGTACAAATATACCCTCAGAAAACCCATCTAAATAAACAGAGGTAGAACCTTTGTGAATTTCCTGGAAAAATCTATTTTGTATGAGTCAAGACTAACTGCCTGGACAACTACAGAGCAGGTTGGGCAATGTGTCTGAAGCTGGAAAAGGGAAATAGAACAATTAGTCATTCTTTTCAGAGAAAAAAAAAACACCAAAGAGGAAACTTGTTATATGAATAATATTAACATACCTGGATTGGTTCCTGCTGCTTGAAAACAGGACCAAGATCAGGCAGAATGAGCTTGATATATTCTTCTTTGGTGCATTCCTCAGCAATCAAGAGAACGTTAGGCAAGACAAAGGGTACCATATCAGGATTCACAAATTCAGAAGTCAAGCAAGGCAATATTCGCTGAATTATAACACGCTAGAAGAAAAAAAACACCCAAGTATGAATCATGTACTGCCCTGCAGTAAGTTACCATTGTGCCAGTTCAGCAGCTTTTATATTAGCCTGATATTTACAAAAAAGCAGACAGATAATTTTCAGTTTTGATCTCTTATTTGYTCTTATATAGCACACTGTAGCTAATTTAACTCTACTACTTTGCTTACTTTTCTTTGTTTGCACTCAAAACATAAATGAAGGCTGTAACAACTGTGAAGATCAACAAAAAGCAATTAACTGTACAGAAAACAGGACTTTCAGCCACACGAATGAGTTACAAAAACTTTACCCTACATGTTTTCTTTAAAAAGACCCTAGCAAGACCCTTAAAAAGATCCGATAAAACCCCAAAAATAATGATTTTTCTCTGCACCCCATCGTCCATTGAGCAAATGTCTAATCTTACCATATATACCTCCCTGTAAAACTCCAGGTATATTCCCTAAATAGGATTCTGATGATTAAATAGACATTTAAACTGTGCATGTCCACTGTAGAGTTAGACATCCTTAAACGCTTTTGAAGTCAATAAATAGAAATACATGGTTCAAGACCACAGTCACTTCCCTCATAAAATATACTTTGAAGACAGAAAAAGAAACAAAAAAATGCTGTAAGATGATTAGGTCAATAGGTGGCTGTCTAAAGTTAGGTAAAATCAATGCCACCTATTTCCAAATTCAAAGCAGCAACCACTTCTGATCAAAGGAAAAAAATATTGTTTAAAAAAGAACAGAGTATTAAATATGAAGCCTGCATGTTGCAGTGTGCAGTGCAAAACAGAATTAAAAATAAAGAAATTTAMTGTATTAATTGAGAAGCTCAGTTCTTGTATTATGTATTACAATAATACTATTTTTCTATCACATAGGCATTATGGCTTACATAAATTAAGGTATACCACAAAAGGAAAAGGAATCAGTCTAGACATAGTGTTYAACACTACACAGTAGAAATATGTAATGACAGGCATTTGCCTTTGAGATTTCTGAGCACTGCCAGCACAAGAAAGCACTTAGTCTACTGAGGGAAGGAAGCTCTGTATCATTCAACATTAAAGTACTGTCTCGCAATAAAAACACTTGAAGCAATCTCATAGAAAGAAATGGTGGCAAAACATCTTCAAAGAGCTACGATGGCATCTGGAAACACAGGACAAGCCTTGCGAGTGGAGAGAAGACAATTTCTGTTCAAACTGGGATAAACTACTATACACGGAAATGACGGTTCCGTATTTGGCTTATTTGCCATTTTCATTTAAAGTATTATTGATTGCTGAGGAATACTTCCACAATAAATATGTTCTAACCTYCCTTTATTTCCTTCTACTTTATTCTGACAGTCTCATGGCAGTCTATTATGGCACAATGCTACAGCACTCCAGGAGTCAAAATGCTAATAGATATTTACATACTTTCAAACTTGCTATTTCAAGACACCACTCAGACATACCTTAGGTAGCTTTGGCAGAACTTTTGGCAGTCCTTTAAAGAACTGTGATTTCTGCAGATTATCCCTTTGAAATAATGAATCAAAATATTGAAGTGTCATTGCTCCTACATCATCAAAGAATGGTATCTAAAAATAAGATGAAAAGGTTGTGATCTGGAGGGGAACAACTGACATTGCTACAGTAATTCCAAAATATAATAACCTATTTACCTTTTCAATGCACTACAGTAAACCTTTACAATGACATGTCTGCAATTAACAATTAGAAAATTAAATTTTTGCATACCAAGTTGTATTAATATTCAGATACAAGCTGATTATTAAGACAGAATTTTCCCATCATTTTTCAAAAACACATGCATTTTATGTGTACCTAAGTTAAAACATTATTTCATATACAATAAGCTGTCCACAAAAGAAATGTAATGAAAAATATAAGCTTTGACTAAAATTTCTCTTGGAAATAATTCAGTTATTTAATATTACAACAAAGGATTAGCTTCTATGGCACCCAGATATGGCTACCACCCCTGGAAACTCTAATATCTCTACCCAACAATTCAGCGTGCAGTGTAAATGTGGTAAAAGAGACTTAACATCTTTACAAAACCACAGTGCTTAATACAACCACTTAACAGATTTGTTTGTTGTGGTCCTTCACACAATTGAGTAGATAACCTGAGAATCTTCTGCCAATTTGCTCACTTCTCATCTTTCAGCATATAAGTGGACACAACCATTACCTGCTCCCTCAACCTTCTTCACTATTTCTTCCAAGAGTTAATACACTGATTTCTACCTCTGCATATAACCTTTTTACACCACAGCAAAAGAATAAAATTGTTTAGTAAAGCAAGTCTATAAGCAGGAACCTACAAGRCTATTTGATAAGAGAAAATGGGGCAAAAGACAACGGAAAAACCATGCTTTAAGTTCTACTTTCAGATARCCAAACGGAGCAACAGTTTGCCTACCTGCAATTAAATTTTGGGTTGTTATGGAAAATAATTTCTGAGTATACTTTACTCGTCTGCATGTTTAAGAATGCATCAAAAATCATAAGCCAAAATTAATCCTTACATTTATTGCCCTTTATAATTTTCTCATTTTCAAATCCTTCCAAAAGAATTTTGAAGACTGAATTATATAAAAGCATAGCACTGAAAGCTTCCAACTGCATGAAAAGGAATAAAACGTTGTATTGAATAATTTTTCTAAATTGYCTCAGCAATCACTTTTCCAAATAAATAGTCAGCATAAGGAAAACTTCTGGCTGATAATGTTACTTCCAAATGGCTAAAAAATATTTAACATTTCAACTAAAATGCTTAACAGAAAACACTTGAAAACAGCTGTACAAAGCAAACACTAATTTCTCTCTTTCCTACGGCTACTGTAATTTCCACGGACTGACCTTAGTCATTTGATCTGCGTCTGGTCTCACTGCTGGAGCTACATTCAGGAGTAGCTTTACATGCTCACGCACCTCCTCGGGTATATTCTGAAGAGTACTGGAGCTTAGACGGCTCAGCTGTGTAAGCAATTCAAGCACATACACCACCAAGTCAGAAAATCCCGCATGTAACTATTCCCAATATACAACAGGCCTATATATATTCAACTCAATTCTCTTGATGGCTTCCCTATCCACACTTTTGATGTTCCTCCCTTCTCCCCATTTGTTTCTGATTCCTCATAGTCTTCTCTGTTTGACAACAGTCTGTTTTAGCTCCCATTCTTCATTTTTTAGCATCCCGTTGTAGTTAATGGTATTTTTGAATAGGCTAATATCATTATCTGAGGTGCTGTCTACACACATTAAAATACACTTCATACAATTATGGTTTTGCTTGGCCCAGTTTTTGGAAGTGGGGAGACCAAAAAGATGGCTCCTGTGAGAAGCTTCTAGAGGCTTCCACCATGTCTGGCAGAGCCAATTGCTGTTGGCTCTGAGGMTGATGGACATGCCACTGACCAAACCTGGGCCAATTGGAGATGGTKGTTACAGCCTCTGTGAAATCATATTTAAGAAGAAATCAAAACAAAGGTGGTAGTCACAGTAGTTTTGCCAGAGGAGGAGGACGAGGCTGAGGTTATGTGAGGGATGCAGACACCAAGGCC